TAACCAGAACAATTTTCCTTTTCCAAGACTGGAATATTTGTCCCCATTTAAAGAAGGAAAGGCCATATAACTTTACAAACAGCAGAAGTATGAGTGCTAAATCATCAGGTCATCTATTAATCAAATAGAAACATTTTGATTTCTGTGACTGCTGTTTAATTATGGACAAATATTATAGACCGTGCTCTCAACAGGGAAGGCTTTTTCTTTTTTTTTAAGAAAAAAGTTTTAATAAAACAAGTTTTCAGCTCTAAGGAGCCTTATTCCAAGATCAACCCAACTCTTGGTACAGATGCCATCCCCATGTTTAACCATATAACCTGCTGCCCACTCGATGCATATCTAACCAGTTTGGCTGCTGCAACCAGCTTCACATCTGTGTAAGTCAGTGGTAGCACAACAAGCAATGGCAATGGAGCCAGAAGTCTTTGATGCCATAGCAGACTGCAATGGTCTGCCCTGAGTAGAGCTGAGACTTTTAACACACCCCTGTAGAGATCTGCTGCTGAGTAAAGAGAAGCATCCAGAAACGTCTCTCTGCACCCTGAATAACCGGAGATCACCTGGGTGTCATTGCAAATGTTTAAAAAAGCCACCTGCATGGATGACACATGCCTTGAGGCACAACAGGAGGATCTTCTCTCCCACCACTGAACTATGCTGTAAATAAGGAAAAGGAAAAACTATACTCAAACTGATCTCTGCACCTACCTTGCACAATGTTGCAGTATCAGTTAATCCCTCGTACTAATCCAAATGTTTTACTAGATAGCAAAGTCAGGAGGTGACAGTAAGAGCTGCTAACTGAACAGCAAATCATTCAGTATATTAAGCAAACAAAAGGATCTGGGATCTGTAAATAAAAGAACCTCCACCAGCATCCATGGTGGCATTTTGTATGATGGGTGAAGTAAATGTTGGACACTACTACCAGAGACAATATTTTTACAGGCTTATCAACTTTGAAGAAGGGTGAGGTTTAAGTTTAAATAATTTTACTATCCGGATACCTATTGATCGGAGCATTAACATCCTCCTGCTTGTCAGACGCCATGGTAGTTTTGCTAATTAAAACCTAGAAGTGAAGAGATAATGACAGCCTATGGAGGCATACAACAATTAGTCTTCCCTGCTAATGGGCTCCTTCTCCAATGAAACACAGTAGTAGTTAAAGGCATCCTTACTGTTCTAATCCTTGGCAAACTACCTTCACTTAGAAGAGTGAATCATTAAGGCTTCCCCCCCAGAAACAATCATTCTGGTGACAAGTTTGTGCCATTAACTAAAGAGTTGAGGTTATTCTGACAAATCCGCGACGGAGACCAGCTCACCATGAGCAAGGACAGGTAATGAAGAGTCCCAAATTCTGCCACTTGATGTAAACATGTGAACTCCATTTGCTGGACAGCAACTAAAAGCCAGGAGGCTTTTATGCTCAGTGAGCCCATTCACTGCAGATATGATCTCATGCAATCCAAGCTGACATACTTATTATAAAAATAAAAAGAGTACTACAGTCTAAGAGCTGTGGTCCAGAGCGTTACTATGATGCTATGAGTACAACTAAGCTGATGAAGAGGCTTTGTTTCTGGCTGCTGCTATTCTCCATCTGTGACAGCTCTCCCAGGCTAAATACACATATGGTTGTTTCCTAACCCAGTTCTGTCAAGTGATGCTGGTTAGCCAGACACACAGATATGCAAATAAAGCTGCTGGCAGGAGCTCTGAATGGTATCACTCCTAATCCAACCCACTTGTTCCTAGTTTTGCCAGTTTAAAATGCTTGTAATTTAATTGTGCTTCGATATGCATTTGATCAATGACTAAAGTTAGAAAAAAAAAAAGCCTCTCTTGTTCTACATGATGGTCATTATGGAAGATCTGATCCATCATGGAGAACAAGCGAGGCTTTTTTCTAAGCTTGGTCATTTCGCTTTTATACATAGGCACTTTTTATGTATGTATGCATACATATAACATTAATATATATGTATGTTGCATACATATATAATCTATAAATACTTTTACAAGTTAATCAGTGTATAGATGAGAAAAAAACATACCTAAACCATAGCAGAAAGAAGCAGAAGCAGACAGATGAGAACAATAACAAATTACCCTGTATTTCCTTGCGCAGCAAGTGTTAGAATCATACCTTTAACTACCACAATAAAGAGTCTTTTTAATTCAAATCACTCCAGTAGAGCAGGCTGTACATACACTGACACAACACAGAGATAACCCAAACTTAGCCACTATTAGACTAGCACAACTAGCCTACAAACTAGTCAAGTACAAACACATTGGAAAAGACCCATGCTCACAAGCACTACCAATCTCTCCCAAGACATATACTACTTCAAAGACGCAAACAAACAAGTTCACCTACCCACCTTGGTTCAATAGCACAAGGGTTTACCATAGGACACAGAACATAAGAACACTCTTCCAGTTATTTTGAGTTCAAGGACTTCCTGAGCCAGATGTGGTTTCTGTGTATTTACTAACTCACAATGAATTTCCTGCCCTTGAATTTATCCAGTTTGTTTGAACCCACATCAGTTTTCAGTTTCCACATCATTTTTTGGCTACAAGTCCTGCCAGCACACTACCCACTGAGTAAGAAGCTCCCCTTTCCACTTGACTGTTCAAAATATTGTTGAAAAGAGAACAAAGTTTAAGTGTGTTCCTACAATTATGAATTGACAGAAACTTTTGAGGTTTTAAAGGCACTGCTTAAAAGCCATGAAAATGGCCTTACAACTGAACAAAGACAGTAAGATTTAACTTTAAAAAAAACCCTACAAATCCCATAGCAGTAACTTTCAAGTTTGTGTATGGTAAAAGTTTCTATCGAACATGTTAGGAGTTGCTAAATAGTGCAGCTATTCATTACTTTCAATGTACATACACACAGCAACTAGCACACCTATCTATCCAGGGTTAGATAAGGAAAGAAACCCCTCCCTCCCATGAATCCTATCTTTCTTTTTCTCAGAAGCCTGGGACTAGGCAGAGACAGAGACCACTGACTTGCTGTCAGAACATGTTGCCAGATATAATTACAAGCTGAACAGAGATATCAAAGACTGACAGATCCCGAATAACTTGCTCTCCCTCCTTTTCGTTAGGAGTTCACTAAAGCTATTTTAATAGCATAGAAGGCATCCATTTCTTAACACCATCAGGTTTCATCACCAAAGCTAGAACAGCATTAAGAAGAGTCTGAGAGTTTCAGGGATAAATATTGAAGACTAAAGTAATACCTCCCTCCCCCCCCAACATCTAGGCTGATTTCTGTGCAGAGAATGGAGTTGGCTATTATAAAGCAACTTGACCTTGCAAAACACAAGCAGTAGAACCTTTTGGCAGCAGGTCAAAGAAACTTTCCTTATTTCCATAAGTATTCACTAGTTAGATTTATGAACCATTGTCTGATCATTAGCCACCAGCTCTGTATTGCTTTTCCATGTACATGCATTTAAATGCACCACTTAGTACAGAGGATACCCCATTCTTTCCTGCTGCACATACTTAACATTTTTTCAATAATTTCAAAGCCAGAAAACTCCATTTAAGAGAGTTCTGATTGCTATGTGAAAGGGACCCAATTACTTATTGCATCCTTTACAAAGCAAGGAGAACTTGCCTGAAAGAGCAATAAAGCTTACTTTTTTAGTACAAAACCCCAAAATATCAGCTACAAAGGCTCACTACTTCTGTTAGAGTACAAACTATTTGTCTGTAGATCAAGCATTTACTCTGGATGTAAAAAGCAATATCCAAACGCCAGATCTCACAAAATGGAAAGAAGCTAAGTTGACTCCAGAAATTTTACCTTCTTTTTTTTAAAAGCAAGGTACTTGTAATTGGCACAGTAGCTACATAGGCATGGTTTCCTAAGAATAGGATACAGCCGTCAGTCAGACAAGAACATAAAAAGGGTATTTTGGGACTTGGGATTGGTCCATCTGTACTCAACATAGATGCCCACAGCCCAAGCAACCAGTGATGGGACTCATGTGAGATCCCATTCAGTGAGATATCTCTGTAGGTCCTGACACAGCCTGCAGTGACCAGTCTATCATTACTTTAAGTACAACATGTCAAGGTCACTGCAAACTATTACTGCTACTGTGTTCTCATGACATATAGAATTATTAAGAAACTTATTTTATATTGCCAGTGCAAGTTTGGAATTTTATTTTTCTTGATCTTACATTAAAGCAGCTGAGTTTGGTAACATATTATCATAACCATAAGACAGACATGAAGGCATTATAGGAATTAACTCATGAGTGAAGAAAACATTTTAATAGAAAAAAACAAAACGAGGCAGCTCACAGACATACTGGATTAGTGTAAAGTAATAAGATGATCTTTGTTATCTTACAGGTACTAGAGAGTCCACATTGCTTCATAAGCAGCTATTTGGACCCTTTTCCAGAGGTAAAAAGCACTGGTGAGCGAGTTCTTTAGCAGGTTTCCTGACAGATAAAGAATTGTTTATGGCTTAGAGGGACCATGGCTATTTCAAAGGCCTCATGACTGCAGAGTACAAATATCAAGAGTTTTTGTTCTGTAGAAGATAGCTAATATATCCAGAAGAGCCAAAAGCCCTTCGTGAGAGGTGTTTATGAGGTCAGGAAGAATGTATGCCTCTATATGTTTTACATATGCGTTCAACACATATGCTTCAAAGCAGTACTTTTATAAATAAGTAAACAAGAGTTTTCACCATAAAGGTCAAAAGTTACTTTATTACAAAAACAGAGGCAGAATTTCAGCAGAATTTGTTAAGGCAGACCTCAATCCACCCCTTCTAACAAGGGGCCAAGGACTTTTTTATGGACACAGGAAGGAGTACTGCACACACCAATTCCTACTGAGGGCACAACAGTGCAAACTAACAAGTTTAAGAGGCATGCTAGGTGGGGAAAAAAAAATAATTAAAAAAAAAATCCCACTGTAACTGTGTAACTTTTTTAAAAAAAAAAAAATCACTCCCCAAAATACTTTAAAACCTGGGAAATCTCTAGATATCCTGAAATTGTTTCCCTGACCAAGATACCGCACAAGCTTTTAGCACAGCAGACAATGTTCTTTTGTGAGCTTTGTGTACTTGCTGCAAAAAGACTTCTTTGTTCCTGCTTGGTTTCTCCTCTGCTTTACCTGGGGTAGTACGCTGTATAGTTCATGAAAAGCTGAGCCCCAGCGGGGTAGTACGCCGTGGAGGGCTGGAGCGTTCGTGGGTTCAGGAGCATAGATGGCTGATACAGAGCAGCTTCTGTTGGCATAACTGCAGCAGGCGTTGGAAAGGAGTAGGATGGGGGTGAAAGGCCTAAAGGGAACAAACAGAAAACAGATTAGGACCTTTTAAATTCCAGCATATATATGGTCTTCATTAGCTGAAGAACTCTGCAGTAAGTAAAGAGCCTTCACAGGCTTCTCCATTCTCTTGCTCATCGCAGGAAATAAATCTGAGCTACCAATGTGGGCTTGACTACAAGCATTGTGCCCACCCCGCTAGTCAAAAGCAAACAGTAATACACAAAAAGCCACCTCTCACTCTGGGAATAGGGTCTCTTTCTGAAGAGGAGACCAGTTTTTCTCGTCTAGGCTCAGATTTTAATGAAGTCTCCAATCAAGAAATGTGAGACTTCTCCACTGTAAGGAGGAAACTTCAGTGCCTAAGATCTGCCTAACATTACTCTTTCCATCCTGACACACTCTATCCCCCAAACAGCTGTCTTCAATTAACCAACAGCAGAGCAGAAAAAGCCATGGCTTAGCAGCTAAGTGCTAACACTCAGTCTAGAAAAAAATAAATTAAAACTGCACTTGGTGTTTCAGCAAGATGTGAGGCCCTTAATGAATTCTCACATATGAGAGTTCAGCCTCCTCCTTTGCCACTCTTTTCCTTTTCTTCTCCTTCCCAATACCATAAAACAAATAAATAAAAGCTTTAGATAACCCTGAGTAACAAAAATAGAAGCTTAAAGTGACAGTCAGCATCTGACTGCACTATGGGATGGGGCAGTGACAGACCAAAAAGGGGCCGAGGAATACACCACTGGCATCTGTAGATGGAAACGAGAACATGGCCCCTTAAGAGTTCCCAAAGTTTGGGACTCTACTGAAGAACCTGTCGTAGGAACTCTCAGGAGAAGCTTCAAACCCCTGTGTGGAACAGCTGTCACATAGGACTACATACTGCAGATCCCTGCTCAGAAGTATACTTGCATTGAAAAAAAAAAAAAACACCCACAAACCAAAAAAACGAAAATGGCAAAGCTTTTTGCAAAACTTATCTCCTAAGGATTAGCTGAAGGTCTACTCAAGGAACTGAAAAGGAACAACACTCAAAGCTTCCTGCCATATTGGCAGCTCTGACTAGGATTTAGAGGACACTTCTTAAAAAAACCCCAACAAAATAAACCACAATACAACTACCAACAACAATAACACATTTGCATAGAGAGACAGAGAGAAAGCTCCTACTTGACTATCTTGCCATTTATGATCTTAGAAGCAAAGTATTATTTTTCCCATAGGCTCACACTTATATGGCATGTATGCTGAATAAGTTAGCCCTTAAGCTCTTAGAGCATTTCCCCCAAACACTTGTCTAGAAGTCCACATTCATCTTAGTAGCTCTGAGGAGCAATTCTAAGGCCAAAGCTATGTGTATTTTACTCCCACACAGGCAACTTCAATTCTGGTGAGCAACAAAAAGCAAAGGAAGAGTTCAGTTTCAAAGGAGAACATTATTAATAGTGTCATAAATTAAGTTTTGGAAATGAAAGGGGAAGGGCTTCTACTTGACATGTTCACCATGATGAAAAATGTAAATACAAATCAGCTTAAATGGGAAACTATTCTTTAAGCTCTAGGTAGGGCTTACAAGTTACTTTTCAAAGTCATGGTTCACCCTGGCCAAGTTAAGTGTCAGGGAGGGGAAGTTTGCCACTGGAAAAGGAAGCGTAATTTTAAAGTAGTTCTTCAGCCACAGTAATTCACAACCAAAGGGAAAAATAATGATTGCAAGCTGCTGCTGATTTAAGATGAAAAGAGCTTATTTTAATACCCCCATCTGATACTCCTTCCAAGAACCAGAATCAGAGTCAAGAAAGCAGCTCCAACACCTACCCGCACATAGCGTAGAGTTTTGGCAAGACCCATGCAAAACTTACATGGTAACTTACATGGTGGTGGGGACAAGCCATTTCGATTTAAAGTGCCCCCCATTAATACAAAGTTCATCTCCTCAGCAGAACATTGAAAGACTTCAACATATCTGTCTTTCATAGTCTTCTTATGACACTTCTGCGCAGCCAGAAAAGCTCGATCTGCAGATTTCATCTGAATAAAAGCATCTCCCGATGGACGTCCCTACAAACCAGGCAGACAAACAGAAATGTTTCTGGAGCTGCCATGAAGTGGCAGCATAGCAATAACTTGTGCTGTTAAAAAAAAAAAGCAGTCTCTTCAGCCATTCATCTCCAAAGTCAAGTACAGTCAACCTGATCACCCATCAGCATGTTTAAGCTCTCCTCCTCAAAGCTCTTCCAACTTGTGCTAATTTGATTGTATTTATTTACCTGTTTCAATTATGCTACGTTGTAACTTGAGCCACGTTACTTCTATGTTTAAAAAAATAAGGACACCTATGGGAGAGACTGTAATTCAGCAGTACATAGGTGCTTTGTGACCTGCTCTTACCAATTTAGTAATTGGAAGATCTAATCCACGTTTATTATCTGTGATTTTAAAATTCAAGGCTAAATACAGTCAAGTGCCAAATGTTAAAGGAGATTTTAAAATTTTAAGGCCAATATGGGCTGGGATGTTTAAGAAGGCTACTAGCCCAAGGCTCAGTACGAGCTTGTGGAGAAAAAAAGCTATTCTTATGTACAGCTGTAAACGAGTGGGATATGCAATGAGGAGGAGTCATTTTAGGCACATGCAGCTGCTGACTTGAGGTAGCCAAAAGCAGAGGTAAATGTCTGAAGCCAGCTCTAACTGAAGTTCTAGGCCAGTTCTAGTCTCAGAGGGAAGAACAACCTTATCACCATCCTTTACATAGTTGTTCATGATTAGAGGGTTGAAACCAAGGATGGTGGGAGGATGCAGAAAGATAAAAATCTAATAGTCAGGCAAAAGCAGTATCTGGGGAAAAAAATAAATCTGACGGCTTTGGGCAGGGGTGTCAGACAGCCCTCAAGACTACAGACACACACCGATTTCTTCAAGATTCTTTAGTTACTGCTGGCAAGGGCTGATACTACTGTAAACTGCTACTTGTGCTTTAATATCTGAATCTTTTCTCAGCCTCTCCCAGCCCTGCACATTCCTTATAGTTCTCCAGACTTGGCCAGGTCAAGTCCTCACAGTCACAGGAGCCTCTTCAGATAGAGAGGTACTGGAATAACTATAGTACCTTCTGCTTCCCCACACCTCAGAAACACAGAAGCCCTACTCCAGGACAAGGAAGTATTTTGTAGTTTCAGCTTAGGCTTAGTCTCAAACAAAATTTTAGAAGAACAATTTTTATACCACAATAAACAGCATAATCAGTGCAACCACTCAGGGCATCTCCATACAGATAGAGGAGCTGCCATCTCCTCCTCCTAAAGCCACAAAGATTAAGCAGATACAGGAGATCACAAGAATGCACAATCCTTTGTCTAAAAAGTTTTGGTAGAAACTGCTTCCAGAAAACAATGGCAAAGATATGACTGTTTATACATGCCAATGAGCTGTTAATCTTGGTGCTTAGCTGTGACTGTTTAAAGAAAGCAATCACACAGCTCAGGAAACCCAAAGCTTCAGCTGCTGACTTATGCCATAGGAAATCCTGTCTTTAAAAGGCTGCAGTCACGTTTGTCCTCAAATATACCTGAGGCACATTGTTCAGCAAGGCAGGGGCAAACCACTCCGTTGAGAGCTAACATTGCCCACGCTTTTGTCTTGAAGATACTCTTTGCTTCATACAAGAGAAATTATGCATACGGTTGAGTGGCAGTCTGCAGTTCAAGCCAATGAACTGGGCAGGATCACAACTGCTGCTCTGGGAGCACCAACCCCTTGGGGTCTTGGGACTGCGGCTTAGCTTTAGGCACATGGGTCTCAGTAACAAACCACTCTAAAGCAAATGCAGCAGCTGGTGCAGCAGGACTCAAATAAGCCAACCTGTCTATTATCAGTGCACTTTTAGAGGAGAGCTGGAAGCTAATTAATGCCATTAGTGTCAATCCCAAAGGTGCTTCCCTATTGATAGCATCAGAAGGACTGTGTTCACATATACACAGGCAGTTGGCACAGAGTGGCTAGAAACGCGGTGCCTACCGACCTGGTGATTTAGTACCATGTGAACTCCATGGGTCCGAATATCTGTAGAAAACTCCCCCAAGAACTCCAGGATGTCCTCTATAGTAGCAGCATAGGGAAGACCACGCAAACGTATGCAGTCTCTGACGTTAGTGGGAGGCACGAATTGTTGAGGTAATACTGGAAGAATAGGAGGTGTGGGGAGAGGAATGAGAGGCGTGGAAGAGTACCTGTTCAGCACCTGTGCAAAACAGAAAAACAGAGAGGTTACAGAAAGCCTCTTTACTTATTCTTCAACTCAGAGGAACTGAGCATAACACCAATGCCACCTGTTTTCACTCTGGGCAGTATTTTAAGAAACAAGTGAGCCAGATTCTGGGATTAAACCACGACAGCAGTGCCTAGAATTTGTATGTTTTAAAGTAAATCTTTGGATCATTTTGTCTTGAAAAACATCATTTTGTTTTGGAGAATTTACTTGAACTGTTATGCAACTCTCAGAAGACATCCTAGAACATGAAACCTATATTTCTACAGTATTTTTATTGAAAAAATATCCCAAAGCAGAGAGTCATGGTGACACTTCTACCCAAAATATCTCCTCTGCAAAACTTCAGAAGAGTCTTGGAACTAGAAGCATATTTCATTACCGAACAGCCCTGACTTGAGATGCAATAGTCCACCAAGTAACATAGGTGGTGTTACTGAGTCACAGTATCTGTATCAGTCATGCTTTGAGATTTCTTGTTACTAATTTTAACAGTAAAAACTCTGCCTGGTCAAGAGTTCTCTGAATATTCAATCACTACCCTTTAACTTTCTCTGAGCAAGATTAAGATTCATTTACATTTATACAGCTATCAGAAGGTTTTGATAAACAAAGAAACATATGAGAGCACTTGAGAAAAATACAATGACAAGAGTGAGTGTTGCAGCTATGCCTTCACATCATTAGTGTCACCCTTTGAACGAAGCGCTGAAACCTCTACATACTTGGGGGAACAGAGCTGGGCTACTGCTTGGTTACAACAATGTGGCTATTAGTTGGCCATAATTTGCATCATAGACAAGACCTTTTAGAGTCATAAGTTAGTGACCTCAGCTGAAGCTCTACAAATCTTTGGAGACATACATAAACAATTCTCTCAGCCCTTCTTCCTTTCCCTGACAGCATAACTGCAATTAATGGCCCATAAAGCCATGTTAATGCAAGAAGAGGCACTTTTCAGGACCAGTTTCACAAAGTCCTGCCACCCTCTGCTAAGTACCCAGTGCTGGCAGAAGATGGCTGAGACTTGCCCTTAGAGGCAATTCGTAAGACTCTTCAGATACATCGCTCCAAAGATGACAATTACATCAAAAGGCTCTGGTGTTCTGTGCCAGTGACTAAAGATAAGTCTTTTAGATCAGGATTTGTTGCTAAAGATCAGGATTTGTCTTGAATAAACCATCATTGGACTTAAGCAAATTCAGTGTCTGTAGCGTTAAAGCACTAGACCCACAAAAACTTTCTGCTATAACTGCTGTTTGTGAAGCTATTGGAAGCAAAAACCCCAAAAGTGTATATATATGATTGAGAAATATATATATATATTATATATAT